GAAAGTTTTAGTGGCCATACATAAGTGAAAGAATTAATGTTTATGTATTGAACGATCGAGTAGTTACGGTCAAGTTTATTTTTATGATTTAGGAGATGCAAATAATATACGCTGTTCAAAAAGAGAACAACTTTGTTGCAACATGTTAACTCGAATTGAGGCAGATCGTTTAGCATTCTTTAGATGTTATCAGTTAAAACTGAGAGCAGAAATATTGTAGGTGAACCTTGACGATGCCAATAGAGATACTGTATTTAAAATTAGTTTCTAACAAGTTTTCAAACCACTCTTAAGATGTAACTAAAGTTACTCAAATTTAAGCATAAGGTTTTCCTCGGCGTTATGTTTCATACTATGCGGCTCATTGAGCCGCACGGGTTCTCTAGTAAAAAAATAATTATTGAGAAAAATGTATTGGGAGATGACAAAATAAATAATAATATTTCAGTAAGTGTGCCATTTTTTTAGGGAGTTAATATGACCAATAAATAGTTTGCAATCTCTAGGTAAATATACAAACCTTGTAAACTTCCATAAAATTCACAAATATTAATGCATTGATAAAATGACTTGCAAAGTACTTCATAATCTTCTAATTGAAGCTAAAGATTGATTCAGAATACCCTCTTGTTTACACTACTAATTTTCAACATCTACAAAATAGTTACAACATTTTGACTTTATTGTAAACAGTGAAGACTATTAAGGTATGCACTTATGATTGTCGAAGTGCGTTAGCCCTTTTATGAGCCCCTGTTGGATTGGATGAGCAGCTGGTTGGTAGAACGAGAGCAGGTGCCAACGTGATTATAATCATGAATTAATGTTTTAAAATCTGACCTGGGAACCCTCCTGTGATATGTATCGTTATAATAACCTACTTTACACTCCCCGGTTGTTATTTGAACCTGATAACCTTGAAAAATAGCTTTAATTAATGCTACAATCAATCACAAAACATTATCTATTCAAATTAATGTACTGTGAGACTGACACTACTTATTTTGTAAGTACACGTACTGTCTATTTTTCAATTTTCAAATTATTAAACTTATGAGTTGTAAGAAAACATATTTGTGATATTATGACGATTGAAATTCACTATTGTTAAACGATAGTTAAACGATATTTGTTAAACGATTAAATACAATTAATTAACTCAACAATGTCCAACTACTGTATTCGGATCGATCTTAAGTATAGAGAAGTATAAATTTCAAAATATAGCTCTGATCCAACCTTACATCGATTTTGAACATTTTATCGCTAAAGTATTTTGTACATTAACATCTACAACTGCTCTTACTGTCTAAAATATGAATATAAAACATTATAGTTTAAATAGATACTGTTCAAAGAGAGGCTTATAGAATAAGATAATCAAAAATTAATATTGATGTCGCAGGGATACTATTTTTCCTACTGCACTTTTGAAACAACACTTGGGTAAAATCTTAACAACGCAGTTTTAATAATCTTCTCCTAACATTAATGTATAGAATTATCTATTCTTATACAGGAATAGAAAATTTATTGAATTTTTTACAAAACATACGATAGGTATCTATACTTATAAAAGGCAAAGCCCTCACTGACTCACTGACACACTCTCTCACTCATCACTAATTCTCCCACTTCCCATTTACCTAGGAGGCTGAAATTCGGAACACCGATTCTTTGGGCATTAAATAGGAAAACTAAGTAGTTTTTATTCTGATCGGGCTTTCGGGCTCCGGCCCAGTGGCTCTGGAGTTTCCCATGTTAACCTTATGATTTTTTAGGAAGGAATTAATGAATCTTAACAGCTGTTTCAATTAAACAAAAAGTTACAAGAATTACCAACAGGGTGCAGCACTATTATTTTTTTAAATTTATAACAACAGCTAATTTGCAACCAAAATGTGAGTGAGCGTAGCGAACGAACTTCAACCTGGAGGCGAGTTAGCGTAGCGAACGAGCTAACCTGTTGGCAAGTGAGCGCAGCGAACGAGCTCCAACCTAAAGGTGAGTGAGCATAGCGAACGAACTTCAACCAGGACGTGATTGAGCCATGCGAACGAGCTCATCTTGAAAATTAAGAAGTTAAACGGGGTAAAGCCCGCGGGTACAGCTAGTATTAGTATAAATGATTGTACATGATACTCATGGTCTTTAAACGATCGAAATGACCTTAAAATAACTTGTATCGTAGGAATACCGGTATGGATCATAAACATAAACAAATGACGTTTTTTGCCCGAAAATAAACATTATTTAACATTGCTTAAATGGAACTGCCAAAACATATGTTCAATGCTATTAGTATAGGATTCGGGCCAACAACGTCCTTTATATATGTTTATGATCCATACCGGTATTTTTCTAGTATTCGTGGTAGGAATCCACTTGAACGAAATAGAATGTAGCGCAAAATATTCAGACAAGGAATCTGGATCGTCAATGACACATAAAGTTTGCTGCATCTCGTTCCCACCAACTCGTGAGCAGGGAACTAACCCCTGGGAGCATGGGCAGGGGGAGGCAAAGAGAGGCTTAAATGAAGCTCACATGATGTCCAAATATATTAGTAGTACAATTAGTCTAATGCACTGTCTACTAATTTGGTGGCTATAGTAAATGTTAAGTAATGTTTGTGTGTTGTAGTATGTTTAACTATTGACTATACTGTACAATTTTAATATTTTACTTGAGTTTTAACCTGCGTTTCTTTTTGCAAAAAACTTTTGCTTGAATAATACATGTGAGTGATTTGTAATTTAATGGAGGATTATTTTACAGTGTGTTAGATAGTTAAATGTATAAGTAATTAATACATCAGCTGATTTATTATTATTAAGTTTGTTAGTAAATATTCTGCTTAGGTTGATGTGTTTAAGAATTCAATAAAATGGTTCTTTTATATTTTGAATATCATTTAGTGTAATTCTACATTGGCGACGATGAGTAAACGAACCAAAAGAAGAAATAGTTATTTCAGTGAAGAAGATAAGTATGAAACTAAAGAAGATGCATTACAATCAAAGATAGAGAAGTTCAAATGTCAAAGCTATCATGAGTCTAGTAGGTGGGATGATTATGAAGCACATTTTCTATTGTTATGCAAGGTAAAAGGATTGGGAGAAGATTCTCAGAGAGCAGAGGATGCTCGAAGGGATCTTTTGCTTGCCCATGTGGGTCCTGCACCATTAAGAAAAGTTTCAAACTTTCTGCTGCCTTTAAAAGTACATCAGGCTACGTGGGCAGAACTAGTTAATGGTTTCAGGTCAGTATACAAAGCTAGTAAAACTATATTTTCAGCTAGAATGGAATTTGAAAAAAGTATCAGAGAAAATAGTGAAAGTCTTTCAGAATTTGTAATACGTTTGAACAATTTAGCAGATTTTTGTAAGTATGAGAACAAGTTTGATGAAAGAATAAGAGATAGATTTGCTGGAGGTATAAATTTTCCAGAGTTTGAAGTAGAAATTAGACAACGATGGCCTGATGGGGTAAAAGAAAATGGTGACAAGTTAACATCTGAAGATGTTTTTGAACTGACCACTTCAATGGAAAGAGCTCGTCATGAGATATTCAATAATAATGATAAAGAGTTGGAAGTATCACAAGTAAGAAGAAACAATAAGGAGTTTAAAAGAGAAGTGAAATACAATGAAAAGACAAATCATCCATGTAGTAGATGTGGAACAAAGCATGAATTTGGTAAATGTCCAGCCTATCAACAAAAGTGTTTGAATTGTAAAAAAATAGGACATTTTGCAAAGGTATGTCGGCAAAAACGAGTGAATAATTTGCATGAAAAGTCAGAAGATGAAGAATCTGAATCGGACTCACATGACATGAGGATAAACGATGTTAAAAAGGAAAGAAGACATATTTGTAAAGCACGTATTCATTTAAAGTTAAATAAGGTAGCTACAAACATGGAATTTGACTCTGGAGCTTGGGCCTCAATGATAGGTAAGCCTCTTTGGGAGAAAATTGGTTCACCAAGACTTGATAAGACTAATTCAAAATACGTGGCATATGGAAACAATATTTTAGATATACTTGGTGAATGTTATGTCAATGTTACAGTAGGTGATGAGACACATAGATTAAAAGTAGCAGTAGTAAATGGAAATGAGAAACCGCTGTTTGGTTTACCATGGATCCTTAATATGAACCTCCCTCCTGATGTTACTATTAGTAAAGTAAAATGTAAGCAGAATCATAATCAATATAAGATGGATGATGTGAGGGTTAAGGAAGTACTAAAAGAATTTGAAGATGTGTTCTCTGAAGGGCATGGGAAAATCAAGGGTTATAAAGCACGAATTCACGTTCGAGAAGATGCAAACCCTCAACATTTTTCAGCGCGCAGGGTTCCGTTTCCCTTGAAAAAACGAATTGAGAATGAACTTACAAGACTTGTAAATGAGGATATCATTGAAGAGGTATGGATCATAAACATAAACAAATGACGTTTTTTGCCCGAAAATAAACATTATTTAACATTGCTTAAATGGAACTGAAAGCCATTCGAGAAGCACGGTCACCTACTAATGTCAAGGAACTCCGATCATTTTTAGGTTCTATTAACTACTATGAACGATTTATTCCGGGACTTCATGCCATTTGCAGTGATCTCCATAAGCTGACTGGGACTAAATCACAATGGAAATGGTCCGAACAAGAAGAGGGGACATTTAAAAGAGTAAAAGAAATTCTATCAAGTAAAGACACAGTAGTGCCATACGAAGAAATGAGACCATTGGTAATGGGTCTGTGATGCATCAGAAAATGGATTGGGAAGTGTACTAATGCACAGATATGAAGATGGATTAGAAAGACCAATTGCTTTTGCCAGTCGTACACTATTGCCCGCTGAAAAACAATATTCAAATATCGACAGAGAAGCGCTAGCTATTATGTTTGGACTCAGGAAATTTCATCAATTGGTATATGGTCAGAAGTTTACTTTAGTAACCGACCACAAACCTCTACAACGGATATTTGGAAATATGCGAGATCTCCCAAAAGTTGTAAATAGCCGTTTAGTGAGGTGGGCTCTCCAGTTGAATCAATACAACTATGACATAGAGTACAGAAAAGGAGAAGATAATGTGTGTGCTGATGTTCTATCAAGACTTCCGATTAAAGAAGATCAACCTGAGGAGGCTCACATTGGTTTTTTGAATGTTGATAAGGTTAACTCTATCATGTCTTATGACCTCTTGAAACAAAATTCATTTACAGATAAAGCAATTAAAATAGCAAAAAACTTTGTAGTGAGAAATACATGGCCCCCTGTTGTTCCTGAAATGTTGAAGTCATACAAACAGAGGAAAGATGAATTGAGTGTTGAAGATGACATATTATTGTGGTTTGGAAGAATTGTAGTTCCAGAATGCATGAGAACTGATGTTCTGAAGATATTGCACACAGGACATCCTGGTATTGTATCAATGAGGTCTGTAGCACGACACTATGTATGGTGGCCCAACATGGATAAAGATATCGAAGTTTATATCAAGAGGTGCACATCTTGTCAAGAGAATCGAGATAATGTGGAAGACGTACCATTATATCCTTGGAATGTGCCTCATAGAGTTTGGGAAAGGGTACACATTGATCTGGCAGGGCCAGTCAACGGATCTATGTGGTTGGTAGGTATTGATGCTTTGTCAAAGTGGGCAGAAGTGGACTGTCTCAAGACAACAAACTCTTCAACAATCATTCAACGATTGAGATCTTGGTTTAGTCGATATGGAATACCAAGTGAAATTGTGACAGACAATGGACCTCAATTTGTATCAAAGGAAATGGAAACATTTTTTGAGAAAAATTCTATCAACCACATAAAAACAACTCCTTACCATCCTAAAAGTAATGGACTTGTGGAAAGACTAATTCGTACTTTGAAAAGACGGTTCTACACAACAAAGCAGGATGTTGGAGATGGAATGCTAGCTCTTCAAAATGTTCTTTTTAGTTACAGAAACTCGCCTCAGAAAACAACTAGTAGGGCTCCTGCAGAATTGTTTCTCGGTCGTAGACTACCAACAATTTTTGACAATATGAAACCTAATCTTAGGAAAAAGATGGAGATGAAGCTTTGGAAAGAACAAGGGAGGGACAACAAAAACGTTCGAACTTTTGAAGAAGGAGAAGATGTGTGGATTAAGAATGAACATGGAAATGGTTGGTCAGCTGGAATGGTGAAAAATAAAAATGGATTGTACTCATATGATGTACTTTTTGGAGGTGTTATAAAAAGGAAACATGCGGACCAGATGAGACAAAGAATGGGAGGTGTTGAATCCGTGTAAAAAGAAAGAGGGGAAAAGTGTTAGATGGTTAAATGTATAAGTAATTAATACATCAGCTGATTTATTATTATTAAGTTTGTTAGTAAATATTCAGGCGGGGCTCTGTACAGACATCTGTCAAGCATGCGAAGTTATTGAGCCAAATTATGTTAAGAATTACTTCGACCAAAAACACGTTACAAGATACAAGAGCTGTCTTCTACCCCAGTTTGGTTCCTGGAGAAAACTCTGACTGAACCATGGACAGATTTGGAGCCACATCCTTTGTTCCACACCCCGCAGCAACGGAAGCCTCACCGCGCCGCCGCTGCTGACCTCAACCGGCCCGGGACGTGATTTCACGCAGCCTGATAGGCGTTATTAACACGGCGAACGTGAGTATCGATCATCAGATGCGCTAAACCAATATTAGTGTACCGGACCACGTGTTGGAGATGGCAGATAGGGCTCCCATTGCCAAATAAATTACAGCGGGAACGCCGCGTCTAACCACGGGTTGGTGCACATTAATCCGGCCCGAGTAATGCACATTCTCGCTTGATTATGATAAATATTGTTTGACACTGAGAACACTCGGAAACTGGTTTTTCAAATTGAGAGAGACCGCGCGCTCGACCGCGAGTGTACCAACGCTGACCTCGCTCCTGGGCGCTCGCAGATGTTGAGAAGTGGAGGCAACTACCGATATACCTGAGGATAAAAAACGGCTCAACTACAAGTATGCCAGAGCTCACCTCGCTCCTGGGCGCTCGCAGATGCTGAGAAGTGGAGGCAACTACCGATATACCTAAGGATATACAACGGCTCAACTACAAGTATGCCAGAGCTCACCTCGCTCCTGGGCGCTTGCAAATGTTGAGATGTGAATGCAACCACCGATATACCTGAGGATATAAAACGGCTCAACTACAAGTATGCCAGAGCTCACCTCGCTCCTGGGCGCTAGCAGATGCTGAGAAGTGAAGGCAACTACCGATATACCTGAGGATATAAAACGGCTCAACTACAAGTATGCCAGAGCTCACCTCGCTCCTGGGCGCTTGCAGATGTTGAGATGTGAATGCAACCACCGATATACCTGAGGATATAAAACGGCTCAACTACAAGTATGCCAGAGCTCACCTCGCTCCTGGGCGCTAGCAGATGCTGAGAAGTGAAGGCAACTACCGATATACCTGAGGATATAAAACGGCTCAACTACAAGTATGCCAGAGCTCACCTCGCTCCTGGGCGCTTGCAGATGTTGAGATGTGAATGCAACCACCGATATACCTGAGGATATACAACGTCTCAACTACAAGTATGCCAGAGCTCACCACGCTCCTGGGCGCTTGCAGATGTTGAGATGTGAATGCAACCACCGATATACCTGAGGATATAAAACGGCTCAACTACAAGTATGCCAGAGCTCACCTCGCTCCTGGGCGCTAGCAGATGCTGAGAAGTGAAGGCAACTACCGATATACCTGAGGATATAAAACGGCTCAACTACAAGTATGCCAGAGCTCACCTCGCTCCTGGGCGCTCGCAGATGTTGAGAAGTGGAGGCAACTACCGATATACCTAAGGATACACAACGGCTCAACTACAAGTATGCCAGAGCTCACCTCGCTCCTGGGCGCTTGCAGATGTTGAGATGTGAATGCAACCACCGATATACCTGAGGATATAAAACGGCTCAACTACAAGTATGCCAGAGCTCACCTCGCTCCTGGGCGCTAGCAGATGCTGAGAAGTGAAGGCAACTACCGATATACCTGAGGATATAAAACGGCTCAACTACAAGTATGCCAGAGCTCACCTCGCTCCTGGGCGCTCGCAGATGTTGAGAAGTGGAGGCAACTACCGATATACCTAAGGATACACAACGGCTCAACTACAAGTATGCCAGAGCTCACCTCGCTCCTGGGCGCTTGCAGATGTTGAGATGTGAATGCAACCACCGATATACCTGAGGATATAAAACGGCTCAACTACAAGTATGCCAGAGCTCACCTCGCTCCTGGGCGCTAGCAGATGCTGAGAAGTGAAGGCAACTACCGATATACCTGAGGATATAAAACGGCTCAACTACAAGTATGCCAGAGCTCACCTCGCTCCTGGGCGCTCGCAGATGTTGAGAAGTGGAGGCAACTACCGATATACCTAAGGATATACAACGGCTCAACTACAAGTATGCCAGAGCTCACCTCGCTCCTGGGCGCTTGCAGATGTTGAGATGTGAATGCAACCACCGATATACCTGAGGATATAAAACGGCTCAACTACAAGTATGCCAGAGCTCACCTCGCTCCCGGGCGCTTGCAGATGTTGAGATGTGAATGCAACCACCGATATACCTGAGGATATAAAACGGCTCAACTACAAGTATGCCAGAGCTCACCTCATTCTTGGGTGCTTGCACATGCTGATTAGTGAAGGCAACCACCGATATACCGATATACTGATAAGTGGGATCAAATACTGATATACCTGAGCATACTGAACAACTTAACCCCGAGTAGACAAGCGTCAATCTCAATTCTGGAAACTTACAGGTTGAGGAGGGATAACATACCCATATACCTGAGAACATACAACTGCTCAAATGTGAACAAAAACGACCACTTCGCTCTTGGGCGGTCGCAGATGTTGTGAAAAGAGAAAAAACTGCGGCAAACATTTATCCGAGGATATTGAACAGTGAGAATACAAGTGATCTGGCTCCTCGGGGCTCGCAGATATTGAGAAGTAAGATCAGCTATCCATGTACCATAGGACAACCAACGGCTCAAATACTAGTGATAGCTTGCTTCGGGTGAAGATGGACGCAGTTTAACAAAATAGACGGCTAATAGCACCAACGACTTATAGTTTCAAATTGTTTTGTTCTTTTCTTCTGCGGTATGGTGCAAGATTAGTTCAAAAGCATTTATTACGATGCATTCATATTAAAAATGATCTCGATGATGTAAACTAGTAAAATTAATGTTTACGGATTCAACTTCACGCTTATGACAATGGGGTTTCTATAACCTATATGTATATATGTAAATATTTCTTGTTCATAGTAAAGAGGTAGTAGATAACCAGTTGTTTACAATGCGATAGCTTAACCAGACAATAAACAGCAGTAAGTAGTTTATGACTCTGAGCACAGACAGTCACGACCCATGTCATTTGCAGTGGGTGTAGGGTCAGTACAGACCTGTAGGCATCAATCCACAAGCAAAAACCAATTGCAATGTCTGATCGAATGTAAACATTTATGAAAATCGTTGATTTATATACTAAGATGTTTGTAATATTAGTGAAACGAAATTGTCCAACCTTCAAGCCCCTGGTTGCTGCGACTTTTATCAACCTTGTTTGTTACACTACATCCAAAGGTTCTTCATCTAGTCAACATAATATCCTGTTGTTGATTCCCAGATAGCAAAAAATACTTGATTAAAGCTTGAAACAAGTTTGATTTGTCAAATCTGCAAACTTGAAACAAGTTTGCTCGGATGGGCCCGTAAACTTGATTCAAGTTAATATCATGCGTCGAAGTTCCCGCTCTTCCAGTTTGAATAAAACTTGAAACATCTAATTTGAATAAAACTTGAAATTTCTAATTTAAATAAAAATTGAAACATCTAATTTGAATAACACTTGAACTATCAAATCTAAATATAAATTTAAAAAATACTTGATTCAAGCTTGAAATAAGTTTGGTTTGTCAAAACTGCAAACTTGAAGGATCGGGTTTGTAAACTTGATTCAAGTTAAAATCATGCGTCGAAGTTCCCGCTCTTCCAGTTTGAATAAAACTTAAAAGATCCAATTTTAATAAAACTTGAAATATCTAATTTGAATAAAAATTGAAACATCTTATTTGAATATTAATTGAAGAATACAAGAAATAATTCTTTTTTAGCCACTTACAAGCTCTTTTTTTATTTCTGAAAATTTAATTCATATGCTTTTACCAGGATTCACAGTCTTACATGTAATAAAAATTTCATATTTTTTAGGTTGAGATGCATAGCACAATATAATCTTCCAATATTTCAGATAATTTTTCACAATCACAACATAATCTAATAACTTCAATGTCTCTAGTTGTTACATGCTAAGACACTTCTCTAAATAAAAAAGTGAGATACCATCTAAAAAATTGTTTTCATAAAAGAGCAGGAAAACATGAGTTATTATAGTTTTCAACCCTACAATTTTACATATTATTACTATTCAGTACGTAGAATTCAGAATTCTTTGAAATTAAAAATAAAACACAAGAGATAATTTGTCTAAATAGATTTATATTGAAGATTTACATAACACATTCACATTTGAAAATGCCTCGTATCTTTAACTTTCAACAAACAGTTCCCTCAAAAATTCCTCTTTTTACGATTACTTAAATAATACAGAGTAAGTTATCTATTCAACAAGATCTTCATCCCCATTGAGTGGAACTTCTTCCCCACTGTCCACAGTGGCAGGTTTTTCCCTCTGAAAAAAGTCAAAACAAATAGAATCAATATTAAATTTAACACGTTCGCTGCGGCACGTCAAATAGCGGGCGTATCCCCAGTGCGGCGCAGCCCTCAGCGTCGAGTAAACCCGATTGCCGCGTGTGATTGGCCTTTTCAATTTTGGTCTGACGAATAGCAAATAACGTGAGGGGATGTCCTGCTTTACAACGAGAGTCGATGTAGTTCGCTAAACACCCACAGATAGCAGCACTGCTTGGAACGTAGCCGGTCCCATTGGAATTGTATTGCCAAATGGAGGGAAAAAGACGGGACAAAAAGAAGACTTTTGAGATTGCCAGACGGGAATTTTACGGGGAAATTTACTACCAACCTACACCACAACAAAATGCAAGTCACATACTACACGCTAACGTCGTATAGGTCCGCTTTCGGCCGACGCTAGAGCAAAAACGAAGACATACAAAAGGCATTACCGAGCGTTCCCGATGGGGTACGGACGCACCGTACGGGGGCCAAGCGCCGTACCCGATCGGGAACGGC